ACGTGGTGGGAAATCACTACTTTCTGGGAAAACAGAAACACACTTATGTACATTTACACGAGCACCATACCTAGAGGAATAAATAAGAATATAAAGACCCACAAAAACTACACATTAACATTGACCGTGTGCATCAATGTACCTTAGAATGGCCCCCGAGATCACGCCGAGGATGCGAAAGCCACGTCCAGGGTTTATTAAAGACGTAACCAGTAAGACATGCTTACAATTTAAATAAAAATGAACGCCAGCAATTGCTTACTGATTTTAATTAGTGGAGTAATTAATCATGTATGTTCTGATAATCGTAAAGAATCAATTACGGTGTTTATATAACTCGTAAATGGTAACCTCGATATGATATAGTAGGTAATATTTAATAATCGTTGTCCAATGTAACTATTCAAAATAACTAGTCATTTCTAGCAATGGGTCGATAGCATAGAAGAAAATGTTTAAACGTATAGGTAAAACACGAGAACGTATGAACACGTACAAATAAAATGAATACACTAAAAGATTCCACAATAGAACATGTATTAACCGCATTAGGCAGAAAGCGCAGGGAATGAGTTGAACGGTTTGTTAATTCCCTGTGGTTCTTCGGTTCTATAACAGAATATAGTTTTCTGCTCGATACACCTGAGCTGATTCTCGTTGTCATTGGCAACACATACACCAGAAATGGACATATATGAAATGTTTTTTCACTAGAATTAAAATGAAGTGGAATAAGAATAAGAATGATTTTCCTGCCTAGTATGTCCTAGATGTTCAGTAAACCGATCTGTTGGACCAATATATAGTCTCCCTCATTAATCACATGAAATGCAATAAAAAATATCTCTGGTAATACTACTGATTCATTATTAACAATAACGTATCTATTGGAACCCACAATACAATATGATTAGAATCTGTAATAAAAGGAATTACACATGGCTTGATTACACGGGACGGAACCATATTTTACGGGGTCTCCCTTTTCCCAATAGCTACCTCAAATTCGTGTCACGACGCCGAGCAGTAGTCGGCATGTGCTGGGATGTGAAACTAGTCTCTTCGTTTTAATGTAAAATGTGAAAATGTTTGGTACATTAGATAAGTGATAATATCCGTGGACTATTTTTTTCGTCAGAATTGTATTACATAGAATAACAATTTCATCAATTTGAACTATGTTTGCAGGTGAATACCACACGCTGCGTGTAGTGAAGTAATTCATGAAAACGGAAATTGTTAATGTACAGTGTTGTATTAAATCAACCTTTCTTCTAACTTCTCGCGATAATTCATCCATCCAAGTGGCGTATGTTAACATTAATTAGCATTTGTAGACGCGCGGAGGGACTGCATTGGCCTTAATTGTAATGTTATAAACGTATATGGCTACCATGGAAGTAACGAAGCTTCAGTGTTCCCACGAGAACGGACAACTTGAATACTGCGCAATAATGAACTTATTTTTGTTAGTCTACAAGAACCTGCGTGTTCCTTGCCACTTGCGTGTGCGGATTATTTGCCACAAATTTAAATAGAGTGACCCGTACTAATATGGAAACATTAAAATTCCAAATAGTCCAGATTCGTAAGCATTATTAAATAAAACAAATCGTGGAATGTTACACATACAAATACAAATAGACGAGGTGGACGTGGTTTATAAAATAATAGTATACACTTTAGGTGTAACAGGTTTAGAAGTTCACTCTGTCCAAATAACTTAACTGTTAAATGTCTTTCCAAAGCTAACAAGTGGACGACCATTCGCTGGCATGGTTCGATTCCCGTTCCTTGTCCTTGTTCTTCCTTGTTTTCGTACAAACCTGGCAAAAAGCCTTCTACTCTCAGAATACAGTTTAAAATGTATTAAAACTCAGTAAAAAATTTTTTCTTTCGTATTTGAGTTGGCTAATTTGGAAACATAATTTACTGTGGGATCAAGGGAACTGTGTTTTTCATATAAGATAATATGCTAAATCTGTATAGATTTACGATTAAATTGTATAATAATAAATATTTGTATACGCGATATCCAAAATAATTTAGCAGACAACGCAATAATCGTAGTTGAAGCAAGAAAAACCGTCACCGCAAACTGAAAGACATTTTTGCATAGAGTGATCTGAAATGCAGGATTGCAAATGCGAATCCAGAATTATATTATTGAACTTTTTTCCCACTTGCAATTTATACATGCAACACAAAGTTTCCTCGTCGTTTTCACTAGTCTCTGCAATCAATGAGCTAGCTGGTAACGCAATCCAGTTAATTTGCCATCATTATTAAGAAGAAAGAATTTGTGGTAAAGACATCTCATGCCATGTATTTTGTCACCACCACGTGGTATCCATGAAGCGTTCACCAAAGCGTCTGTGGACAAGAATGCGGGTATCATTATTCTGCATGGTGAACCTAGATTCATCTGTGAATACTACAGAAACCATTGCTGACCTATCAAATACATGTATTGTTGAGTCCAAGCTGAACGAGCAGCTCTTAAGCGCGACTGGCTCAGTGAAGACGGTTCAGTGTAGTCTGGTCTCCAACGTTGGTTTGAAGGTTCTACGGGGCATATGGAATTGTTGGCCAGGAAGGGCTGACAAAAGGGTTGGCATTCCTCATCAGGACTTGTGACCTGACGTCGACCTGGTCAGGGTCTGCCACGTAGTGGTCGTTCTCTGAAGCGCCTTGTCATTCTGTGAATACCTGAAGGGCTCACATTTTGTCTTCAGGCTTAGTTAAAAAGGCCCGTGGCTCTGGCTCTCTCTTCAAAAGTCAAATTTACGCAAGCTTGCAAAATGTGTGACGGCACCATTATTAAGTGTATTATTGTTACCATAATTGGCACATGTGATTTAAGCAAGCACTCAGCGTACATGCAAACCTAACATTCCTCCAAACCCGATATTTTGCGCAGGCGTGTGATGGCTCAATATTCCATCTTTGTCACTAAAATGTTGATATTCAAAGTTGTTTGGACACCATCTCCAAGTTATGCTAACAATGAATTTATACCGGTATGGTTAGTATTGCATGTATACCACACGATGCCGCAATAGTAGATTGATTACAGATAGATTGATTATAAATATATTGATTAAAGATATATTGATTGATTCACAACATTATAAATATAATACTATCTGTTGTTATTTATATGCCCCATTTCAGTGACGGTGTTCTAATTACTATGCGATGCGTCAACCATGCCCAGACACAACAAAGGACACCTTTTACGTGTGTGCGTAATTTCAGCACGTTCAAGAAACCGTCTCATCATATTGCTTACTTCGATCCAATTTGTCAGAATAGCTTATATTTTTCAATTCTTTATGATTCACAGCGTATTTTTCCCTCTAAATATATTTTTATTAATTTCAAAGTCAAAATTGTGCGTAAGTGTGTCGTAATATATTTAAAGCTCCCGTTGTCGATTGTCCTGCCATTTTTTTTAGTAGTCTTACAAATCCACATTTGAATCGTTTATGCTTGGCGACATATATGTAGATCGTCAGTACACACCCTCGCAGCAAATGCTGCATATCATACATATGAACGTGCACGTGGTGATTAATTTGTATAGACGTTTTAAATTGCAAATAATATAATTCTGGTCAGTTGACAAGGCCTGAAAATAGTAATCTAAAAAACTACGGACATATGTAAGTTTATGGAAGTTTAAAAATACTTGAATATATTTGAAAAAAGTTTTGCGAAAAAGTTTTTAAAAAACCCAGCATTTTAAAAGCAATGGCATTGACAGGCGTAGTGCAGCTAGGTTCTCTTTTAAATATATACCAAAGCATGTTTTCAGAGCTAACCCTTTTTCATGGGATGTCTACCAATTTCATAAACATGTGGAATTGGTGATTCTGTTATTTGCAAATACGCCCCTTTCCTATACAGAAGGTATCCTGGTGGTCCAAACTGTGAAATTTGAGAACTGTGCAATGCCGAGTTAACATGCACGAAAAGCGCAAAACAGTGCGTTGTACATACGTGACTTCGGTGCAAACAACAACAATATTTTTGTTTGCTTTACTTCAGAAAGATTATTTTTTTATTGTGATATTTATTCAAAGGGTCATATTGTTTGTAATCTGACACGTGCGTGACAAGGCTACACGATCGGACTGCCAGTATTTGTTTTATTTTGACCGAAATAGCACTGCTGTTCACATTGAACCGGTTCATTGCTATTAATACCTGGACAACAAGTAACTGTCAACCTCTGTATGTAACGAATGATTTGGATGAGTGATATTTATTTAAACACACATTATCGTTCTTATCTATGGGGAATTAGATATTTCAATTTATGCATTAGATTAGATAAATTAGATAAGTTCAAAAAGTAATAACTAAATAAAAGTTCTGTATTTTCAGTATATGTCTTGACAGAACGCTGGGAGGGGGAAAAGTTGTACCTTCCAGGGTTTTAAAAATGCAAGTTGACGAAAACAAAATTGTTATTGACATTCCATAGACCAATTCACAATATGATTTATCGTTCTTGTTTTATTTGCAAGACACACCACAGAATTCGTTAGATGAAAAATCAAAACCACTAATACGCATGTGCAATAATCGTTAATGTACGTGCAAAAACAACCAGTGCACATGCGTACTAGAGAAGTTTATTGTTTCATCGAGTAAATACTCCGGCGTGTGGTACGATCACTACACATTAAAAAGTTTCGACTCCGTTCAATGCTCAAATATATAAAAACAAATTAAAAATAACGTCGTATCCGTACGGTGTCAAAATTCATAATAACAACATTTTGACGAACTTAAAATTGCATGGAAATGGAGAACTAAACTATAATATTACAGTTGTTATTGCGAGTCAATCGAGCGACATACTAATAATAACCCCATGTATTCTAGAAATTACCTCTTCCTGAATTCATTATTTTATTGCTGTAAGTGTAACAGATTGTGTGAACCATATTATTGAAAGATTAACAAATATGCATCTTTTTTTTTATTTTCAGGAGACACCGTTCGAGTCAACGTAGACCTATTCATTATTCGTATCGATAACATCGCTGAAGTCACAATGGTGAGTTGTCACGCTAAAACCTGAAATACAAAATGTGAACACTGGATTACTTTCCGAACAATTTCTAAAGCACTAAATACTAATCGTTTCCACACGCTAGATAATTTGATCTCGACATCCAATTGATTCAAATTGTTTCTTTATCTCACGCTGTCTTATATATTCAATGACGTAGAAATAGTACGTACGAATCAATAATACGAACCTCAGTTCCGAACGAAGATGGTTCTTGTGTATCTGAACTTTCTATTACTCGGCCGTCGCCACGAGAAACATTTGTTCAGAACAACGCAGTTCAGTGCATCTACAATCATTCGCGAGCGCTATTGTGGTTACGTAGTTGATGTCTTAGATTTGACTATGACGTGGTTGTGTATTGACGTACACATAGGACGCACGTCAATTTCCGTAACGTTGAACAATTGCCGATAAGAAGGGTGGCTGTTTAACAGCTGATAAATCTGGAAGCGGCTATATTGTATGTATGTATGTAAAAAAGCCCTGTCGTCAATGTAGTCGATGTGGAATGACGTGTGGTACATATTCGTGGTTCAAAAACGAAATTTATTATTAAATTCAGAGTGTTGGTAGATTCAATACAAACAACTTGCCCAGTTTGATATGTCTACTTACTAGTGTGCTGGCTGATTATGAATCATATCACGAATTTGCCATAAACTATATCCCCAGTAGTTGTAATTAAATTACATATATTTGGAAATACAATTCTGACAATGATTAACTTAAAACAAAGTATTATTCTCAAATCCAAAATCTGCCGTTTCGATCTATGGCTAGGGAATATAATTAGATTACGATGAAGCTAATATTAAAGACAATATTCGATTTCTCGACAGTCGCAATTGAATCGACGTAACCCGGCACTTAACAGTATTTACTAAACTTGTTCTAGCGGTAAATTATAAGTCAATTTGCAAATATTTAGATTGCGAATGCATATATGGCAGAGATAATATAATCCGAAGCACAACTCTAAGAAAGGGACAAGACGGAATACATTTACGCACATTTAGTTTAATCCAATCCTGGATTTAAGTGTGTTAACGGTTCAGGAACTCCCAATGGGTTAGACATACTAACCTTGCTAATAGAACGTATATGGTAATCGAAAACAACGAGATCCCTATTATACATTCACCAACCGTAACAATTGTAAGCATTACATCGTAATCAACCAAATTGAAACGGAAATATCGATGTTTAAGGGTTGTTATATGTCGTCATGCTTGACAGCGGAAAGTGTGGCGATTGCGTCATTTGGTGTCTCTTTGTGTAATAAACTGGTGCATTTATGGCTTGTTTAATGTTTGTGCTAGTTATACATTAATGTGCTGATGGATATGTTTATATCATTTATTTTAAAATTGTTTGCACTGTGAAAGTAATATACACAGTTGTGTATTTTTGAACATTATTCATGTGTCGATTTGCTTCACTACTCAACCAACTACTAATTGATCGAACGCGCGTATGCGTATTTTTGCATATTCGGTTGGAGGTACAGTGCAAAAGAACGCAGTCAAATGATGTCTTCAAAAGTTACATGATATCTATTGATTTATTTGAGCAAATTGCGCCCACTATTCCCTTTTCTAATTATAGAAATGTCTCCAGTTTGCCGTCGAGTAGCAAATAACGACAATTGCATGTGTGTGTTTTTAATTCTAATTACAAAGTGTATTTTATAGTTATACTGTAAATACACTTCAAAGCATATACTTATCTGTAGTAGTCACGTATGGAATTGCTCATTACGATTCCAATTAAAGAATGTTAACGACTGTACTTATTCTAGAACACATCGGCGTACATGTAAAGTGGATTTTAATCCTCGATATGTCAGATTTATAATTGCCCGAGGAATTGATATTATTAAATTAGTATATCCTTTACAGGCGAGCAGGATATCAGGTTTACCGAGACACTGTTACCGTAGGACACCTTAATTACATGGTGTTGTCACCATATCAAGTGAGTTACTAACTTATATACACAATGATCACTGAAAACATTCTCCCATACTTTTATTTATTGCTCGCTCAGGATTTCGACACTAGCATGTTTCTTCGCCAACAATGGAATGATCCTCGCCTCCGGTACAACGAAAGCATCACGAACATACCGCCATCAGGAACCCTCCTCGACAAGATATGGCTACCGGACTTGTTCTTTTTCAACGAGAAGGACTCGCACTTTCACGATATCACCACAGACAATGTTCTAGTGAGGTTTGCCGGAAATGGCGACGTGCTTTACAGTATGAGGTGAGATTATGTTATGTGCTTAGCTAAGTCGACACTGTCTTTAAATAGCGCATGGCGTTCGAATCAAATCAAAACGTTGTCAATGTCATAGTTACACAAGTCGAGGGAACAGTGGACGAGAAGGCGGAAAGAAAAGGAATACTCATTCAAGGCGAAACCCGAACTCCGAAGAGTTAGATACGTGCAAAGGCCTAATGGAAGGAGAATGGGGGCATGGGCTCTCGCTCTCAACGGGATCTCGCGATCGGCGGTCAGTTGCTACTAAAACATTTTAAACTAGGATCCTCATAGGCAACAATGAAAAACGAAATTGAAAGTAGGGTTATTTAACACACAAAACCAATCTGTCAAGTACCCAGCATGCTACAAAATCGAAATGAAATCATAATTACATATTGGCAATATTATAAAATGTCATCCATTTCACTAGTCACTCTATGTATCACTCCGTCAATTCAAAACTAGAATTCACTAAAATTCTAATCACAAAAATATGGCTTGCTTATCCTGGTAGTATATTAAATAGAACAGTTTGAAATAACAACTTCGTAGGGTAGACTGCTGTCAGTTTCCACCGATTACGTTTTATATTTAGTTATCTAATTAACAATTATCTCTAACGACTGTGACACTACGTGGGTCGTAACTGAAAGTGAATAATGCTGTTTAATCTAGTATCCGCTTATTGTAATCACATCTACACTTCAATTTATTCTATTAAATTTAAAAAAAGGAATCCCAGAGCAAAGGGTAATTTAGTAGTCGTGTTATGAATCTATCAAATTATAGACTGGCAGGCCGGCTTCTATTTTAACTTTAAATGTGCCTGTTACTGTATATTTACCTAGCTCATTTATATATACAATAGACACAAGAGGTTAATTTATATACGAAGAAAATGCAATTTTTAGTTTTTCTTTTTTTCTCTGTACATGTGCAAAGATTATTTTGGATCGAGAGAATACAAATGTGTGTGCGGCAAAAGTAATAGTATTAGTTTACGATAAATCATATTCTAATTCCGATGATATCAACAACAATAACACAACAATGTACGTTTATTTCGTCTGTGTTGGGTCTTTATGAAAATTTATTTGAATAGTTTCGATATATGTAGCAAATATGCCCCCCTCCTCCACTCTTCGTTCGTCGCTTGTAATAATAACAGTCGTTGTTTCGTGATCGTATTTCGGAGAAATCACTCTAGGTGATCTACGTTTATTCTTCTTCAATTTTCCAATGCCAATTGCAACCTAAATAGAATCCATCTTACTCGGGTAGTCTGCATTATATTCAACCGTCCACTATACAATACACATTACTGCTAAAATATTAGGAAGGCTTCCCTTACTTACGTCCCTAACTTGTTTTTCTAGACTCTCCGTCAAGGTATCCTGTAACATGGACTTTTCCCGGTTCCCCATGGACAAGCAGTATTGTGGAATGCAACTAGAATCTTGTAAGTTATTATTTGTCAACCGTTAGGGGCAAGTTTGGCTGTTTAACAGAGTTGTTTGAGTGTTTATTATGTGCGAGTAATGTTATGTAATCATTTATTTTACTTCCAATGGTAGATGGTTACACGGCGGAAGAGCTTCTCTTTCTATGGAAACCAGAGGGGCCATTACAAATGCCGGAACATACCCGACATCTACAGCAGTACTTTGTCTCTGAAACAGAATTGCTTCGTTGTGACAAGCTCTACTACACAGGTACGTCAATGGAGTTACTTACAGACATGTTTGCAAATACGACTTTTGAAAGGTGACGTGAGATCTGGAACTCTTAATATGATATGAATATAAATTTACTTTGGTAACCATTGTCGTTTAAAGCGACAAATGTTTTTTATTGTTGAGTTTTTTTGTATTTTCTTTAGTTCGTTGATGTGAAGAGTGACAGATCTCTTCTTCATCCGACATAACGTATCATAAGGCTTGGTTTTTGCAAGACATATCCATAATCTTTTGATCTCGCACAACATCGCAATCATAGAAGAGCAATTCTTTTCCTAGAAACGACAGCGTAAATGCAAAATGAGGAACACTTAAATGCTGTATTTCCACGCCACAGTCGCCGGGTCTCACGTGTTCGGTATGGGTCCCATGCGACGTACACAATACTCTGGTTACGTATCGATTGTAACTACTGTGGCGCCCAAGTAAGATCACTGAATCAAAGCTCCGAGTAATCGTGGAATATTTAATATATACCGCGTCTCTGGGTGTGCGGGATGTGTTCGTTTATTTATCTTACACCAAACAGTCTCATTTATATTGTACTGCATCATTCGGCCACGGAGACAGTACTAGTATTATAGTCTGTCTTCAACGTAACGGCGCCATGCGGTCACCAGACTGCAATAAAACAAATATTGCTTTCTAGATGCTCATCCCAAACTATATAGCGTGACAAATTTGATAGCACGACTGATACGTTGCGTTGTTTCGTAATATCTTAATAATGTCTTATGGTATCGCGGAACAAGGATTCGGTGCGTGAGCAATGTCACGTTTCATCAACACAACACGTAGATTGCATGCACATTTTCAATTGAGATATCTGGACCTAGTTTTTTTAATTGCAAACACGGCAGAATCTACGACACAATTCGATCTTTAATAAGGACCGTCGAGACGCTTCATTGTCCGACGTTAGTGTTCGCATGAATATAGACGAACGAGAATCACTGCGACAACCATCCTTCAGCAAAATGGAAAACTCAATAGGATAACCTAAACACGGTATTTGTTAAAAGGTATTATTATAATCATGGAGCTCCATGTTATAATATAGTCTACCATTTTTAAAGCTTTATTCGCTCTGGCGACAAATATTTTATGATTTTAATCGGATTTAACATTCAATTTTCGAATGCACGATAATCACATAAACCCATTACCGTTCCAGGCGACCTTAAGCCCCAATGATCATTTAAAAAAATGAAATTATTTGAGATTTACGGATCTCCGTGAGCCGCGCCTTTTCTTCACCTCGTTTGTGAAATCGCCTTGATGCGGTATCGATGACAGCTTAATGTAATAATAAGATATACTACTAGTTGTGATTGATAATAATCATTTTTATATATAATAACCATATATCTTCTTTTCACCCTATGTCCCCGAGCATTTTTTTTACGATATTGAGATATATGTTTCCATGGAAAACAATTGTAAAATGTCCTAAAACAAACAAACACGCTTTTTTCATTGTATTATGTAAATCAATCTTTGTACCTTGTATAAATGTTATGACCGACTACTTGCATTGCAACAAGTAGCAACAATGTCCTCAATTTATTTTTTATTCTGTGTGTAGTATGATTCATCCTTCCTCTACCAATCATCTCCGAGCATTCATCTTAGAGGACACAATTACCATTCGTCAGTTAAGCGCGGCATAGGTTTAGGGCCTATGGAAATTTCTCGCCGAGCGATAAGATTCAATCGCAGCAAATAACGTCTGAGGTGAAATGAGTTAGCGCAATATGAGACGCGGCGCTGCATTCCAAGCTAGAGACAATTTATCTCTGTTACGCAATGTTTATATTCATTACAAAATAAATTCAAGTTGGAATAACTAAACAGTCCAAGATGTTACCCAGTCTCGTGTTCTCCTGGAGTTTTCCTATCATTGAAGCATGGAGCTAATTCAAGACGGCTGAGTTAAAACTTTAGAATCCGTACAGGGAATATAAATCATGAGTCTTGCAATCTCATTGGCGGAAAGGGTCGTCCATGTTAAAAAGCGAATAATTGCATAGAAAAAAATGTTATATTGCTGTGTTAACGGCAACACAATTGCGTACATTGATTTCGTGATTTTCAATTTCAGGTAACTTTTCCTGCATCGAGGTGGACTTTACATTCACACGACTTCTGGGCTATTATTGGATCAGCTACTACGTTCCCAGCATGCTATTGGTCATACTATCATGGGTATCGTTTTGGATTAATCCGCTAGCCTCCCCAGCTCGCGTGGCTCTTGGAGTGACCATTGTACTGACCGTGACAACCCAGGCCATCAGCGTGCACTCCATTCTACCTAAGGTTTCCTACGTAACGGTAAGTATAAACGATCATGCTGCGTATCACTTCTGAGTTGCATATTTCACTTATTTGTTTGTATTTTTTTTGCTTTGGACATTTTGTATCAAATGGACGTAATTTCCTATTGGCTATAGGTCAAAGATAAAGACAAATATGTGATTTATTTCATGAGAGGTGACTTTGGGTCAAGGTTCTTGTTCAAACCACGTACGGTGAACTCGCTGCACAACGAAACTAGCGTTTAATATGTTCTATTGTCGACGTCATTGTCGTTGTTGTCGTCTATATAAATTTCGACGATAATTATTCCACGATAAACGTTTCTTTGGAACTTGACCATCGGCATCGTGTTTTGTACAGGAGACTGAAATTACTGGCGCAATTATATTTATGTATGGACGTGAATGTTATTTGCCTCGGCATCCAAGTAGTCAAAATGTACACAGTTCTTTATGAACATATGAAACAAGAAAAATCGTGCTTGAATTTTGACGTACCGCACCATGAATGGGCATCAGTTACGACTATTTCGACCAAAATAGTTTAATAGCTCCGTTATTGGAAAAATCAATTGCCATGGATTTACCGCCGTTATACGCCAGTTAAGACTTTCCCGGAGGGGATTGATCGTTAAAAATGAGAAAGACGCACTAGTATATGCACACTTAACAAGTGCCTTGGGAATTTTGCTTATCACAAATCGATCGTCGGGTTACTCATCGTCTGAAATCCTGATCATCGCTGTCTTGTCACAAGTGGTATCGGGCCGAGAAAAACCGCCACGACATGCTGAAAATCAAGATTCTTTATTGCTGAACAACTGATACTCAAATACCATTTGGTAAATAGCATAATATAACTAAAGATAGTCACTATTTCGTTTTTTGTGAATTTGCCCTGTTCACTTAATCCGACAGAGCAAACGATTTATTGTAAAGGTATCTACAGGGAATGTCCTGTTTTACCATTGCCGTTCACGTGGTTACATATATATGTTAGATGCGTCTTGGCAAATTGCATTTCATTTCCAAAGGCGTGATAATTAGTTTGCTGCGACCTGTGCAAACACCGACATCAAATAAAGGTGATGAAAAAAGGTGATTGAGGATCGTGTCAAATTGGCTATTTTATTGAAATAAGCGTTTTTATTGCTTGTTTTTTGATATATGGTACCGATAAATTAAACACATTTTCACAGATAGTGATTACATGTCTATCGCGCCTTGTATAATATTTGGATTCTGCGTCAGAGTTACAAACCGCGCGACACTGCCTGTAATCCTCACTCGTGAGAAGAATATAAATGATTATTTTTATTTTAATCTTTCAACATATATTTATTCTCTTTTATTCATTTATGTTGTTGATTTCTGGTCGAATAAATGATGTCATTCATTAATATTCTAGATTGCGTAGCGCCTCTGGATTCTGTTTAAAATTAAGTGAAAGATGGTACTGTTTTTCTCATCAATCACAAGTAATATAAATAAATTGAAACTATATAAGTGTGATTATAGTAGTATTGGCCCAACTCTCAAATGACTTGCTTCATATCCATCGAACGATTTGAATTCTGTTTACTCGAGTATTCTTTACTCCAATTCTCGGCATTCAGCATGCAGCGACCACGTGAGTCTGCCATGCACTTTCTTACGCATTTGATAAATTGGTTGATGATATTAATGTGGAAATGTTGCGCGTGATGTTTGTGTATTCCGTCAACTCGCGCATGCGCAATTCGCGGTTTCAATGTTTCAAAAACATATTTACTTTCTCAAACCTATACCCAAGTAATACCGATGGCGATTAAGGATCAGTTTCAAATCAATCAGTAATTCTCAACTCATATTCCCCCTCTAAAGATATAACCATAAATCCCTGATCGTATGCCCTTTGCGTTGTGGGCCGACAGCGATAAATAGAGTGAGTTTCGAAGTTCAAAGAAATCCGCAATTATACACGATGAAAACGCGAAATGACGTTAATTACTCGGCAATTGTACATCGAGTAATTGCAAATATTGATCAGAATCCTTCAAATTATTATTGCTCAAACCTTTGGAGATTCTCCACGTGACCAGGAAGTGTGATCCATAGATTTATTTCCGCAAAACTCTCGGGAAATATATTAGTAGGGCAGTTATTGGGATATGCATTGAAGGTAATTATGTTTTTTATCAAAGGATACATAGTGACATCGACACATGATTCGTGGACAATTTTGAAAATGATATCTACACAGGCTTTTTGCTTCTGACGAATCATGCTATTTTCAGTGTAATCCCATACAACGAACCAGCGTTTCATCCCGGCGTCGCGTAGCATGCGTTCGAATTTGTATTTTTCGTTGTGTACGTGACGCGGGGCCCTAAATTAATACGATTCGTCGTAACAACTCTTCCATTTAAATGGTTAGTAAGTGGTTGGTGAAGAGAATGAGGATCGCCTCATGTGGTAATTACGTGTTTGTTACATTAGGTTAATATATTGGTTAATGAATTCACTGCATTTATCTGTGTCATGCTGCTCTATACACAGATCATTCGCGGCGGACGGTCGTATGTGTCAGTATACGCGACAACGGTTCTCTGAGCAATCGCGCTGAAGTGATCCCCTCAATGAACATCACAATCCACACCATACAATGCGAATGGCATACTAGTATGTATTTCTGGAATAATATTTATAATTTGCCCGGATTGGTATACAAATCGCCACCGTCGGCGCAACGCGCCGTGTTCAATGCGACACAATGCGTACATAAATTCGACAATGGCGCTTTATTCGAAGAGCTAGTTTTGCATTAATACGTGAACTAGGTTAATGCATTTGCGTTGAAATCGGTACACGAAGCTCGAGTGACGCCTTGACGTCACGCAACCATGTTGGTAATAATCGTGATCTATGACAACTCCTTTGATTCAATGCATTGATATCGTTATCCGTGCTAACGGCGTGGATCTATCTCCAATTATGTTTAAATTTACATTCGACTTCCCCAGTCATTGAGCAATATGAAGCGAGTCAATTCCACTACAACGTGACTTTATTGCATTGCGTACTAATATCAAATTAGAATTTCAACATTACATTCCCTGTAAATATTTCGCTTACTCAAGCAAATGTTTAAATACGCTAATGTTAACACATTAGCAGTGCAATTCATTAATATACATATATTTAAAATGTCATACCCGACGGATTCAACAATCTCCCAAGGAAAATTATTCTTAACAACTATCTTGCGCCTACTGGTGGTGCAAATGTGTCTTTGTAAGTTTAGAATTCATAAACTAGAACTTAATTCCCCCTTTTACGCCTTTGCGAAAACTGTCAAACAAAATATATACGAAAAGAAGTTTGGGAATATCGTGAACCGCTCTAATCTGTTGGGTTGTTGTGTAAATGGTTAGCTTGGACTAGAAAAAGCCTTGAAAACCCTATTTTGTTATCTACGCCCAACCCCTAAGAATGGAAAGTACAGAATCGCTTCATCATTGGACCAGTTTTTATAATAATAATAATGTTTATTTTCAAAGTACCATAGGCCGCCGGCCCTAGTACACTCAAAGATACATCATTAGTATATGTGGTCACAAGATTAAATACAATACAATAAGTGTTGCTTCCTCTAACAACGCTTCTCTTTTAACGAAAGAAATAAAATAAATATTTAGCACAATTTCTAACAGTTTGTGAAACTCATCTTCAACTCCACTACGACAAACTGCCTGTTGGCAAATCCTATTTGGTCTAGGCATTAGGCGGCGTTCCTTTTCAATCATTAGGCTGTGTGATGATGTTCCGTATTTCAACATAGCAAGTCGAAAAGCTGTTTTCATTTCAATTACAAGATACGATTCTAATTCCAGGTTAAGTTTATATAGGTTATATGATTTTAACATTGTTGGAGATCGATGTTGAAACGCCGCTGACGAAGCAAGCCAGGAAACACATTTTCATCGCCAGCACCCTGGTTGTACCACAACTCCCCAAAGCCGTAACTAAATAATATTCCTCTTAATGATTTTACCCAGCATTCTTTGTTTGAGTCAAATAATGTGCGTTGAAAATTGTAACATTGATAAACGTAACGATTTTGGTTCATTTTGAGTATTTTCGGCCAATATTTCACCATTCTAACTAAATGAAGAGAATACATAGTGGGACGACCATGTTCCCTCCTTACTGCTGCATGGATTATTGGTGTATTAGGCATGTGAAGCAACAGTAGGTGACTCAGTATGACCCCAAATGTCGCTTCCGTACTGCATTATTGGAACAGTTTTTGTGCCAAATATTTAAAAACAATTTTGCATATAATAACCTTTATTAGTGCATGGAGCGCTTATGTAGCCTGATCCGCTAGATGTTGTTGATACATTGACCATGAACCACGTAGTGAGAGTTTTATTCCCAGATAAACGTAATACGGCACTACTTCAATTAATTGCCCATCGTGTCGCCACTTCTCGTATCTTCGTAGCGTTCCTCCATTACTGAAAACTATTACTAACATTGGTTTTGTTTAAATTAACTCTCAAATGATAATTATCACAATATGATTTCAACTAATCGAGTACTTCTTGTAATCCAATTGCATTATAAGACATCAAAACTAAATCATCCGCAAAAAGAAGACAGAATAACTTAGTTAAACCAACAGAACATCCAACATTATCCCCTAAAAGTGCGTCTGACTGAACTTCTACGTGAAGATCATTTATTAAAAACAGGAAACAAAAAAAGTGACAAAATACAACCTTGACGCACTCCAACGGGACAGTTAAAGAAGCCTGTCAGACCATGGCTTGTCAAGACACATGATTTTACTTGTAAATACATAGAGTTAAGAATGGAATACATTTTACCTCTAATACCTGCTTTACCATTTTTGAAAAATAAAACTACCATATTGACACAATAAATAAAAGCACGATAAAAACGTCCCCGTTTGGTTGTAAGATATTTTTGTACCAGTGTGCGAATAATGAATACGTTATCTATGGTACTATA